ACTTCATTATTGGTTGATCGGTGTTACCTGTATACAGACCCTCTGCAGAATGCTCATGATAAAACCTGCTCATGCTTTATATTCTGAGTGATGACATTACTTGAGTTTTGTTAAAACTTTTCTGAAAAATTGATACTCATGGTAGTTTATAAACACTTATGTTTATAAAAATTTGAATTTACTTTGATGAAAAGTTGATTCTGTTCATCTGAATGCAGCGTTTTCCGTGTGAGAAACTTTTCATCACTCATCCAAGTGACTTCTTCAGTCTCAGTGGACTGCAGGTTTCCCCAACCTTATAAACCAGATGTCTCAAACTGTAATCCTCGAGGGACGGTGTCTTGAAACATTTTTCCATGTGTCCTTGTTGCAACAGACCTGAATACAATTAGTAGGTCATTAGCAAGAGTATAGAACTTGACTGCATGCTGAAGTGGCAACCCCTAACCCTACTCAAGTAAATTTAAGTAAATGTAGGTGTTTAGAAAAAAGTACTTCTGAAAGTACTTTTATTGCACCATGTTCATTCATTCATGAGCTGCTTCAACATGAATCAAATGGCTGAATTGCCACCTCACCATGCAGTCAAGTTCTATACTCTTGCTAATGACCTACTAATTGTATTCAGGTGTGTTGCAACAGGGACACATGGAAAGGTTTCAGGACACCGGCCCTCGAGGACTGCAGTTTGAGACTCCTGTTATAAATAGTACGTTTGCACAATAACTCAATAACACAATCATTAATATGCAAATTGTCATGACCATTGATCAACAACCGCTTGTGATCGGTTCATCAACAACAAGTGAGTATGATCATCAGCAGGTGTGGCTGTCTCCAGAGAGGGAACCTCTCAGACCAGCGCTGTACAAAACCTAGGACACAGGCAAACACAGAAACACACATAAAAGGGAGAGAGAGACAGGGAGCTCTGGGATGTAGGAAACAAACAGAAATGGCAGGTTCAGCCAGCAAGGACAGAGGGACGGTGACAATAATCAGTTAAAATATAACTGTTAACTTATAAAAATGTATCAACTTACAACTACTTATAATCTTTACAAAATACAGAAGGTCAGGCCGCTTGACCATCATTTTTTATCAACTGGTCAAAGGTGTAGAGCAGGGGTGGCAGACATAGTGCCCACTGGCTGATTACAATTATATCTGGCCCTTGGATTCGCTGGCCAGTGACATCTGACCCAGTCTGCCAATCCTCCTGGAAGCCCCTCCACAAAATGCTCCAATGATATCCAGCAGCCTCCACCCTCCGTTAGGGTGGATGTTATAGCAGCGTGGTGTAACAGGTTTTTCCATCCAGTGTGTCAAATAGCTGACATGGCTACACCAGTGTATTGTGATGTTTCACCAACATGTATCAGATGCTGTTGTTGCCATCCATGTGGGCACCACCAGAGACAGCCCCTGCCAGAACAGAAACTAAGACTGTAAAAATCTGCGCCTGTTTTTTGATGCGTTCTATTTATTAATGATTATTAGGAGCAAACTATGACTTTTTGCATTCTGTTTGTTTTGTTTTTTTATCTTTACTAGCCACTCTCTAAATCACACTCAAACAGCAATTAAGAAACCAAACTTCTTTGTGTCTAGTTTACAGACTACAAACTAAACATGAAACTATAATCTTTTTATATCCTGATCTCTCCTTAGTTTGCAATATTTAGTTATCTTCATCATTGGCCCTGGTCATGTCTCCTGTGTTTACTCCTTCCCTCTGTGTTTAAGTTTATGTGCCTGGAATCTGGGTCTATCTCTGTTTGTGTCCTGTCTTCTTTTGGTAGTCTCTTGTCCTGCGTGCATTGTGTTTCAATTCTGTTGCCCTAGTCTTGTCATTGTGATCTAATTCAACTGTGTTGCCTGGTGTGTTCTATCTTCCCGATTAACTAATGATTATTTAAGTCCTTAGTTTCCTTCTTGCTTTTTTGCAACCTCCCTATAGGTGTCTGTCCTGTCTGTTTGGTGGTTTCCTGTATATTTCTTTAGTTAGCATTTCCAAGAATATGTCCAATTCTCATGACGTTTTGCCTTTTTTGCCGTGTTATCTGCCTTTTTGCTTTGCCAAAATCCAGATCACATGAAGACCCGTTCAACAGCTCATTTGGAAGTACTGACATCTGCTGGTTATTCAATGTACAGCAGCCCTGCTGTGATATTACATATGGGCTACATGCCAGTCGATATATATAAACATAAAGATGTACCAAATTGCAGAATACCCATATGATGTCCTGAATAAGCCTATCTGTGATTGATTAAAGATGTATGTTGTCATTGTGAGATACTGTGTCAAAATGCTCCCTAACAGCTGATGTTAGGGAACACCTCGGATCCAGTTTAAGCAAGAAATCGATTCCTGCATTTTCAACAGATCGAATCACATAAAGAGTTCCCTCATTTCAGTGAAACGGGGCCTCATTTATGTTTGGTCATGCCATATTCTGTAACCTGATAAGGGCCTTGACATGGACTTCATTTGGACATGCCCCCTATGCTCAACACAGGTCTTGGGGTTTCAGTATCAGACGTAGCATCACTAGTTCCTTGAATTTCCTTTCCTTTGATTTCCAGCAACAAAGCTGTGGTTTAACTCTAGTTACTCACCTGAGTCCTGCAATATTGGCTCCACAACTCTGCCTTCCATGCATAGCGTCACATGACATTCCTTTTGTCACTCACCACATTGCTTTAAGTTTGGGGGGGGGGGTTCACATAGCTTTACTATATTGAGTTGTCATGTTTTCAGCTTTTGTCAGCAGCATGTTTTGACAAAGGAAATTAATGTTAATACATTGACTTTATAGTCAGAATTATCTTGACAGTCTTTTACTGCATATAAAATATGTCTTGATGACTGATTTATTACCTTTCATGAGGGAAAGTTTTAAAGTTCTGTATTTCAAAGCTGTAACAATATGAGATTTGCATTTATTTATAAAGTTATTGTAGAAAATCCAAAGAAAATATGCAATAAATAATTGTGTTAGCTGAATTCATGCATAACTTTTATTATCTAACATGCATTATTAGTCTAAGTCATCATATAGGTAGTTATACGGCGATATCACACAGGGATTAGTGTGCTCAATTGGCCAACAAACTTGCCTGACCTGAACCCCATATAGAATTTATGGGGCATTGCCAAGAGAAAGATGAGACATGAGACGGAACAATGCAGAAGAGCTGAAGGCTGCTATTGATGCATCCTTTTCTTCCATAACACCTCAGCCATGCCACAGGCTGATAGCATACATACCACGCTGCACTGAGGCAATAATTGTGGACGATCGTGGCTCAAGAGTTGGGAGTTCGCCTTGTAATCGGAAGGTTGCCGGTTCGAGCCCCGGCTTGGACAGTCTCAGTTGTTGTATCCTTGGGCAAGACACTTGACCCATTACCTGGTGGTGGTCAGAGGGCCCGGTGGCGCCAGTGTCCGGCAGCCTTGCCTCTGTCAGTGCGCCCCAGGGCAGCTGTGGCTACAATGTAGCTTGCCATCACCAATGGGTGGATGACTGGATGTGTAAAGCGCTATACAAATACAGGCCATTTACCTTTTTTTTTTTTAAAAAAGAGGACCCAAACTAAGTACTGAGTACATATGTATGATTATACTTTTCAGAGGTCTGACATTTTTCTATTTAAAATCCTTGTTTTATTGATTTAGAGATTAGATTAGATTAGATTAGATTAGATTAGATTAGATTAGATAAAACTTTATTAATCCCTTGGGTGGGTTCCTCTGTTTCCAGTAGCACAGCACTGACAGAAGTTGCAAAAGAATGTAAGCAGAAATAGATATATATCATATATACACATATATAAATACAGAGACATATATAAATACAGAGTATATAATAGGGATAAATAGGATAATAGGAATTAACAGGGAATTGCACATTTCAACTATTTTAAGTCTATTGCACCTTTAATATGGAAAAATACTGCACAGTGAAAAGGGCACTGCAGATTAGATGTTCTCGCCTTCAACTGTCCCCCTGTTTCTCCTCCCTCTCCCCTCCAGCGAGGAGTTAAACAGTTTAATGGCGTGTGGGACAAAGGAGTTTTTAAGTCTGTTGGTCCTTGACTTTGGGAGAAGTAACCTGTCACTAAACAGACTCCTCTGGTTGTTTATGACCATGTGCAGATGATGCCCAGCATTGTCCATAATGTCCAACAGCTTCTTTAATGTCCTCTTCTCTGTCACTGTCACCAGAGTGTCCAGCTTCATGCCAACCGCAGAGCCAGCCTCCTGAGGAAATACAGTTTGCTTTGGCCTTTTTATACAGGTGCTGCGTGTTGCATGACCAGTCCAATTTGTTGTCCACCGACAGCCCAAGGTACTTGTATGTGCTGACCACCTCCACCTCCTCTCCCTCTATCTGAACCGGCAGTGGACATGGTCTGGACCTCCCGAAGTTCACAACCAGTTCCTTGGTCTTTGAAGTGTTGATTTCATGTAATATTCTAATTTTCTGCGATTTTGAATTTGGGGTTTTTATAAGCTGTAAGCTGTAATCATCGAAATTGTAACAAATAAAGACGTGAAATACCTCGCTTTGCATGTAATGAGTCTATATCACATAGTTTCACCATTTTTCTCTTTTATACCTCTTTTAAAGGTTTTAGTGAAGTTACATTGTCATGGTGAGATAAAGTTTCAACAGGGTGTAATTATATGTGTGTGCGTGTGTATGTGTTATAAACGTCAATAACAGGCCTTTTCTGAAAGTATAAAATAGGGTTTGAATTCAAGTTATAGCAGACTGTTGGCACTCTGAAATGAAATGCAGCCCCCCTTTGGCAGACAGCTTAAAACAGGAAATGTACACGCCAAGTTCACCCAAAACATCCACAGCAACCACCACAGCAATGTCTTTAAGAGTTGTAACCCCCCCCCCTGTTTAATGTTATAAAATAGAGTCTGCCAAACAGAATCTTGTATAGGGCCTCAAAAAAGTTAGAAACGGCCCTGTCCCATTTCCAGTGAAGGATTTTTTGTATCCGCCATCTTATCCTGATCATGTTTTTGTATGTTAGTAAGACTGCTGTACTTCTTTCTAGGATTCCAGTGAAGTGGGTGGTTCCAGCTGGAAAGATTTGAAAATCCTCCCGAAAGAGTCGGAGATGGTGTCAGAGATTTGCAGAGACAAACAACTGAGTAGAAGCAGGTAAAACAGTACTGTAATGACAACACAATAGATAACAGTATGAACTGTGTTTAAGTTTTGTGCTTAGGTTGAAAGTAACCACCTCGATCAGTAGCGGTCTGTCGTGATGGAGCGAGAGTTGAGCCGAAAGGCGACACTCTCAGTCTACATTTTAACCATGCTCGGCCCGAGGCAGGGCTGGACTGGTAATCTGGTTAACCGGGCATTTTCCTGGTGGACAGGCACACTTTCGGGCTTATGGACCGACCAGGAAGCAAAGGCAGCAGCCCGTTTCTTCATTTTCATTACTGACACTGGATTGCCCAATCAAATTTCTTACGTAAAAAAAAGTAGGAAAAAGTTTAGTTTGGAAGAAGTGGCGAAACGATGGAGAGAAAGGTTTAGTGCGTATTTGGGAATATTTCACGTCACTGCGAGCCGATTTAAGCCTAAACAGTAACACATGATACGCAGTCCTGCTCGTTTATTAATCACCAGGGGATGTCGCATAAAACGAGATTAAAGAGGCACAATCGTGTCCAATAGGGGTTAAACTTGTTCGTTGCGGTTTCGGTTTGCACACTGCTGATTTGCACAATTGTGGTTTTTAACTTAAATTTATACTTGATATTTAATTTTAGTTTCATTCTCGTGTCTTTTCGGAAATTGCACAGCAATACGCATTTCACTGCATGTCATACTGTGTATGATTGTGTATGTGACAAATAAAATTTGTATTTGAGCTAAAAAAGAGTAGCGAACATAAAGGGATGTTAAAGTTAAAGGATGTTAAAAATGCAGGCAACTTAAAATGCAACGTTTCTATCAACCCAACAAACATTAGCAAACACACAAACTGTGTGTGTGCTATGGTCCCAGGGTCGTTTCCACAGTGTTTGTTGTTAATAGAGTTTTGAGTCTTGTTTACTCATTATTATGTTGTTTGTGTTATGTTTACTAGTTCTGCTTGCTTGTGCTTTTAGTTTATTTGTATATATCATGTATCAGTGTTTGTATTTTAGGTTGTCTTGGTTGTTAAATGGTCCTGTTCATGCCTTTGTTTTGACTGTTTCCTTAAAGGTAAGGACTCCTCGGTGGGATTTGATAAACTGGAAATTTCAAGCTTACATGTAAGTCCTCATGTTTTTAAATCAAATGTATACATGTGACATTATGTTTTTCATATTGTGAAACCTGCTGCAAAACAAACTAAGCTAGACTAACTATGTCAATTAAAGATTCCATGAAAATGATCTACAGGTAATGCAGGACAAACAGGTTAGTATGCTGCACTGTGATGGATTTAAAGGGGGAAAAAAAAAGAAAAAAAAACAGTCTGTGACTGGTGCACAGTGCCAGTCTAGTATAAAAAGTATACTGTTGGTGTGGAAAATGTAAATCACGCAGGATAACTAAAGAAACATTGGCTTACATCTGGTTCAATTCAGGTGTATACATCCACAAAGAGCAGCAGGTCAGCTGATCACAGCCTGTACGTTATGAAAATCTACTGGAGCACTCAAAATAAATTATTGTAAGTTATGCTGAAGAACTATTGCTGAGAACTACTTAAAGAGATTTTAAGAAAGTTTGCCTAAGAGAGTTCAGGCTGTGTTGGAGAATAAAGATGGTCATGCAGAATATCGACTTTATTACAATTATAAAACTCTGTTTTTGCCTTACTTATTGTAATTCCATTTTTGTTTGTATATTTCAATAAGCCACTATTTATTTCCCTTTTTCCTGGTAACATGAAATGTATGGTGGCCCAACACTTTTGCACAGTATTGTAGCTTATATAATTCGCCAAGAAATTCACTGGCTCTGGCATGACCTTCTCTCTATTTTTTTAAGTCACTGTGATGAAGCCTGAGATATTGATCGGGGACTTTAGGAACCCCTGATACTTTTCTTGCAGTATGATGGCAAAGACATTAAAGGTAGATATACAGGGAACCTGACAAGTGAGAGATTTGCTGCTTTCAGAGACAAATAGTGCAGACAAAATATAAATGGCAATATCATAGTCCATATGAGAATATTAATTATGTCTGTTTATTATAAATATATTTTAAAGTTGTCTAACTTCTAAAACTGTGTTGTAATTTCCATGTATTGAAGTGATTTTGATGCATTTATTTATTTGTATGTTTTTTCATGGAAAAATCCTGCAGTGTTTTGCGAGACCCTCAAGAAACATGGAATGCAAAACAAAGTTTATGATAACTTGTATGCTTTTTACAAGTAACATAATGAGTCACCTCTTGGTTAACAATTGCTTTACAAATAATGTATACCTTTATAAGAAATTGCAGAGAAGTCATTATTACGGTGCCATTCCCTTAATTCTCTTTCAGTCATCTGTAGCTCCGTGTCAGGTGCTGAATGGAAGACTAATGTTGTAAAAAGTCTTGTGTAGATTTGAAAATTTGCAGTCTTCAACAAAGGAGAACTTGTCCTTGGTGGGGTCATTGTTTTCTGTTTGCACTAGTTGAACAGAAAGGGCCATTGTCATGATCTTTAACATTGGTTATTTCTAAGGTGCAGTTGTTCTGGCCCAGAAGTCCCACCCTATACTGCCCTGCAGTATAGGGTTCCTGCTCTGGAAAATACCCAGTGTTGGGTTCCCTGGCTGGTGCCCCTGACAGCAAGAGACTTATTCACTGGACTCTCTCACAGCACAATTCTTGTTCATAGTTCATGGTCACGGTTTACATTGTTGTGCCTCTCTTAGCGCTGTCTAGTTAAATCTTAGTATATACTAGTTCATTAGTTGCCATAGAAATGTTTGAGTTGTTTTTTATAGTGTTAGTGTTTGGCTCTCCACAGAAAGTATTGTGAATACTTTCATAGCATAACTCTAGTGACCTGTGCTCCTCCATATCATTGAAGTTCATAGTTTACTCTAGCATTTTTTAATCAGCTAATATGATGCTTTCTCTTTGTTTTCATACTTTAAAGGTTGCACTATTGTTTCCCAGAATGTTAACTGCACATTTATCAATGTAATCCCACCACTTCCTGATTTCTAAACCGATGTATCAATACTGTAAACCTGTTTTTGAACATTAAATCTTCATTTGTGCTGAGACTGAATTTATTGCTGTTTATTGCTTGAACGGTGAAGACCTTCAGTATTCAGTAAAATTTCAACTTTAACTTCAAACTTACAATTGAAGTCATTATTACGGTGCCATTCCCTTAATTCTCTTTCAGTCATCTGTAGCTCCGTGTCAGGTGCTGAATGGAAGACTAATGTTGTAAAAAGCATTGACGCTCTGGTTACATCCTATGTTGTGGTACCACAACACTCATTCTCCCATACTGAAGGAAACCTGCCTACATCCAGACTCAGAGGAATCTGGCATGAAAAAGATGGCACAAAAAAAAACATCTATCATGAGGATCCTACACTGATTAAGGACAGCTTTAAGGACCGAACAAAGCTGGTGGGACTTCTGGGCCAGAACAACTGCACCTTAGAAATAACCGATGTTAAAGATCATGACAATGGCCCTTTCTGTTGAACTAGTGCAAACAGAAAGCAATGACCCCACCAAGGACAAGTTCTCCTTTGTTGAAGACTGCAAATTTTCAAATCTACACAAGACTGATATTCTCTTCTTCCATTCAGAAAGTATATCAAAAAATAAAATAAAAATTTAACATTGGAGTCTAGATGATGAAGGGTGCGCCCTCTAGTGTTGCTTGAAGGTTTTGTTATGTGGCTGTATTTTTGGTATTGTCTGTCTCACCCATTTGTATAAATGACACATATACATATAAGCATGTATGATACTTTTACTGAAATAATGCCATTATTTATTTGTAAGATATACTTAGCACTTTATTGACATTACACACAAGGAAAATCACTTTTTACAATGATGGCTCGTATTTGTCAGATATAAATTGTATGAATAATTCTAAATAAATGTCTATTGGCATTAATGCTGTTTGAATAAAGTCCACTTCGACAGCTGTGGTTTGCTTTGGTTATCATAGTAAAATGTAGTGTTTTGATTTCTTTAGTGTCAATCAAACATCCCAACATCAGAGAAGAATGGCCAAGCAGAAAATTATGAAGGAATTCTTTCTGCTTTTTGCAGGTAACATCACTGGTCAGCTATTTATTTCCAGTCTCTTTATGCTTAATGTGTATAATTAAATAATTTCCTTGTTATTTTAAAAATTATCTTTCAGTCATCTGTAGCTCCGTGTCCAGTGATGAATGGAAGGCCACGGTTGTAAAAAGCATTGACGCTCTGGTTGGATCCTGTGTTGTGGTACCATGTTCATTCTCCCATACTGGAGGAAACCTGCCCTCCTCCAGACTCAGAGGAATCTGGCATGAAAAAAATGACAAAAAAAGCAACATCTATCATGAGGATCCTATACTGATTAAGGACGACTTTAAGGGCCGAACAAGGCTTGTGGGAGATCTGGGCCAGAACAACTGCACCTTAGAAATAACTGAAGTTAAAGATCATGACAATGGCCCTTTCTGTTTCCAGGTTGAACTAGTGCGAACAGAAAACAATGACCCCACCAAGGACAAGTTCTCCTTTGTTGAAGACTGCGTTGAGTTGAACATGATCAGTATGTCACCAACTTTCCATGACTTCAAACATCTATACCAGTTTTCTGTTAAATCATTTTGCCTCTTACTTTATGTCTGACTTTTTCATTTTCAGCTGAGCCTCCAAAGCCTACATTGATCCAACCAAAGACAGCCACTCAAGGAGAGCCCTACATTGTCACCTGTTCAGTCATCCACACCTGCCCCACTCATGTTCCTAAACTCACATGGAATATGGATAGTACAAAGGTCATTGTGCATCATAAAGATATTAAACATGGAAACTGGGAGACACAGTCCATCCTGACAGTTATTCCTGAGGAGAAGGATGACAACAGAGAGATAACCTGCACTGCTGAATTTAATGGAGGGCTGAAATCACCTGAAACTTTCACACTCCATGTAAAACGTGAGATCCTTTCAGTAGTTTACTTCCAATATATTTTTTAACCCTTAACTTTGCATGATTAAGAAAATGTTAATATCACTATTAAAAGTATGTTTAGATGAATGTTGTCTGTATTCTAAAGAAGCAATAGCAAAAAAACAAAAACAAAAACCCAAGCAAATACCAACTCTGTCTATTTCCAGGTATTGAGAACTGTAATCACATCATCATTCCTGCTGTAGTGGGGATTGGTACAGCTCTGCTCTTTGGCATCTTCTGCATTTTCATGGAAAAAAAATACAAGTGAGTCTTTTTTATAGAGAATCAAGCTTTCTGTTAACAAGGAGGAGACATTTTTCCTCTCATCAGTTCTACAGTACTCTCTTTAATATATATATATACGGAACGTAAGTAGAAAAATATTTTGGATCAGATGCAGTTGGTTTCTGAGTCTGTCATCATATATGATAACAATATAATGATTGTTTTCATTTATCACAGCATGTGGAACAGGCTTTCCAGGTTATCTCGGAGGTGAGAAAAAAAATGTTTCTTTTCTTTTGTTTTTACAGTTTGGAGCATTAAATGCGCATGCATGTTTTGATTTTTTAAATGCAAAATATTTGGAATTTTACATCCACACACATCTTCAAGATTACATTTCTAATTAAATTACTCTAAGTCCTTCTGATTAAAGGCTTTTGAGTTTTTGGCTCTCCACTGACTTCACCGCTAACTTTCCGTGCACAAATGCCTCAATGGTCTCACAGTCATTTCAAGCAACAGGGCAGATTTTTGTTGGTTGTTTTGATATTAAATTTAAAATTTAATATTTTCGAAAAGTCTTAGAAACTGATGTAGAGTTAGAGACACATTATGCATTTTGTTTTTCTTTTTAGTTGTTTTTCACTTTTTGAAAGTTCCTTGTGTTTCATGTTTGTTTTCCCACACATCTTTGAAGGCTCCAACTGGATCAAAGGACAGAAACAAAACAGCCCTGTTCCCTTCTGTTTCTGTATTTTGTTCTTCGCTTAAAATCGCACATATATACTTCAAACATGTATTTTCTTACTTTTCAGGCAATGACATGAAATCAAGAAGGGGACCAAAGTCAAATGGTTACATTCTTCTTCCCATTTGCATATCAGCTTCAGTAAAAATAAATGAATAATAAGAAAAATGTTTAAAAAACAAAACAAAAATATAATATAAAAAGCTATAAGAAAAAAGGAAGACAGGAACAGCTTTTTCTTCAACAATTAGCTTCTACCCTTTTTCATTAACTAGTGTGATGCTTTCTCTTTGTTTTCATGCTTGAAAGGATGTGCTATCATTTTTGCTTTATGCCAGAAATGTTAAGTAATGTAAGCCCACCACTTCCTGTTTTCTAAACAGATGTATCAGTACTGTAAGACTCTTTTTGAACAATAAATCTTCATTTATCCAGAGACTGAATTTATTGCTTAAACAATAAAGACCTTCAGTACAATTTACATTTAATTTACAATTACATAATATTCAACAGTGAGTAAAGTACCTTTTTCATTCAGATCAAATACAATATGAATACAGTGTGTGTTGCATGTTACTGTTAAATTGAGGAAGACCTCAAATAACAAGAAACCTGGGCCCGTATCCCTAAAGAATCTTTGTGCAAAAAGTGGCTCCTAGCGGCCAAATTCTAAGAAAATTCTCAGAGTCATGACGTTTTCTTAGAATTTCCCCTAAAAGTGACACGACAATCCCAGTTAATATAAAAGCTATTCCTCAAGATTCCTAGCGCTTAAAAGGGCTCCTAAGGCAAGATCTGCTAAGAGCAGGGAAGAGGACTTTTAGTGGCTTAGGAGTTCCCTAAGCAGCTGCACAAAATGGCCAACAGAAGAGGCAGGAGAGATGTCCTGCAAACACTGGATGACAGGGAATTATTGAGACGCTACAGATTGGATCGTGCAGGAATCATGTTTGTGGTGGATCTCCTTAGAGATGCAATTACTTCACCAACTCGACGCCACAACACTATTACACCAGAGACGAAAGTAATCACAACCCTGAGGTGTTTGGCAACCGGGAAAATGCAACAATGCAGCAGTGATGACTTGGGTCTGCAATCACAGACATTGCTAAAAGCTGAGCCGTGTTACCCTCGTTAAGACCACACTGGACTTGTAACGTTGTGATTTCTACTTCATTAAGGACAGCCTCTTGAGATAGGCCATCTTGTTTTCAACAGGGTCCATATGGGAGTGAAAGTACAAAATATGCCAGCTAGGATATTAATATGAGCAAATAAAACACAAATCATTATTTGAACAGGGTGTAATGAGTTTAAGTTTTCACATATTTTAGATTCTAATGTTAGGCTATAACCCCTACAGCTTACTATTCATTTTCCAGATATTTTCTTGAATGTGAAATATTATTTACAATTACAGTCAGCATAAGATTAGAGTGTATAATTATGTTTATTGATTTGAGGGTACATCCTTTGCTCGTTATCACCAAAAGCTCATTTCCATCAAACTTGTAGGATCAACCAATCACGGCTTTTGAAATGATGACTCATACCTAGCAACGGGGTCAACCACACCTCCTCACTAAGATAGGATTTTCCATCCATTCCTTGCTCAGAGTTCACTGAAAATGTTCTGGAATCACTTCTAAGCTAAAACTCCTGGCAAGGAATTTTTAGGTTAAGTTAGGAGCTCTCTGAGAGGATTCTCAGAAGCTTTAGGGATACGGGCCCTGGTCTTCTCATAGGCATGTGTGTAACTCTTGTTTTTTGTTTTTTTTTGCCTGTCCCATTTGGTTCTTTAGCCGTCAGAATTGTTGTCTGAAGATCAACAAGGATACCCAAGGGATTTACTTTGCCAAATGGATCATCACGGCCTTGCCGTATTGGTCCATTTGATCGACCTTTGTTGTTATTATTTATTTTATTTTATTTTCAGTTGTTACAGACAGGACAGATATGACTGGGGGATAGGAAAAGGAGAAAGAAAGATGAAGGAAAAGAAAAACAGAAGGGAAGAGGGACAGTGAGAAACTTAAAAAGAGAAAGAAAAAACAATCTCCTGGATCAACTGTTGAGAGAAAAAGAAGAGAAAACAAGCAAAAAAACCCAAAACAAAGCAACATACTAAACACAGCACCATCGCATTAATCTAGCTAAGTGTAAACAGCAGTAAATACTAAATATTGAATATTGTTGTGCAGCACGCAGGACAGACAGCGCACAATGTGCTTTGAAGTAGCAGCCAAGAAAGGTGTAGTTTATGTCTATGAACAGTGAACACCTGTGTGCACACCTGTGTGGATCAGCGCGCTTGTATTCAAAAGGTTTCCCCATGTAACGGTCTGCTAGAGGGTGTAGAGGGCCATAGCCCCGTCCCCCAGGGCATGAAGCAGGTATGGAGGAGATCCAGGTTCCAGATATCCAGAGGCCCCAGAGTGCGAGAGCCCAAGGAGGACCACCAGAGGGGCATCCGTGCCACCCTCCTGGGAAGAGCTGAGGAGAACCTCAGACGAGTGGTCACCCAGTAGTCACAGAGCAGAAGCCAGAGGGGGCTGCACTGGCGTGCTAGAGTGAACCGAGCCGCAGGCCCAGAGGCCCAAGGGGCCTCTACGCCCTGGAAGAGGCCCAAGTAGCCACCGGGAGTGAGCTGGTACATACCTGAGCACCCAGCCCTGGACACCAAGAACCACCAACGCACCGACCCCCGAGGGCATCAGTCACCGGCAGGGAGTGTGGTGAGGGGAGATAGGCCTCCATACTTTGGAGGGCCTGGGAGTTCCCAGAAAGGTGGAATCTAAGACCCGACCTGACATATAGACACAGACAAACAGGCACACACAGACACAAACATGCATTCCCACCCTCATGCACACATATACAAATACTCAGCACTCACCCAACGTAACTCTTAACCATGATTTAAAGAAAGTTTCCATTTATTTTAAGATTATCATAAATAGTCTTTAAATTCAGAAATTATTTATGTTCTCGTTCCTGAGTATATTATGGTTAAGTACCCATGAGTTTGTTAGTTATAGCTCTTGATTTCTTTTTATATGTTAGTTCTTCTTTTTGTCTCCAGTCTGTCGTCTCCATGTCCTGTCGTCAGTAGAATTATACTGTGTAGCATCTGATTGATGTGTGAGGAATACTTATGCAATACGATAACAAACATCTCATTTAAAAAATTAAACTACAAATAGCAGGACACTGAATTGACTGAATAGCTGGATGAACATGAAAAATGTTTATTTGAATTTTAGATTCACATATCCAGCTCTTTTTCTTTTTAAAGTGTACCTCGCTGATGCATCACCACAGATCATCTTTAAGAGTTGTAACCTCCCTGTATAATGTTATAAAATAGGGGCGGCCAAACAAAATCTTGTACAGGGCCTCAAAAAAGTTAGAAACGGCCCTGTCCCATTTCCAGTGAAGGATTTTTTTTCATCCACCATCTTATCCTGATCATGTTTTTGTATGTTAGTAAGACAGCTGTGCTTCTTTCTAGTATTCCAGTGAAGTGGGTGGTTCCAGCTGGAAGGATTGAAAATCCTCCTGAAAGAGTCGGAGATGATGAACAAATCAAATTTCTCACACAGCTTGTAGATAAAAAGATTCATTTGGAATGTCGAGACAACGCCGGTCTATGCGATTCTTTTGGTCCTGGTAGAGATCACCCTGAGATGTTTCCATGTTTTACACAATCCTTTTATTACCCATTATTCTTACAGATGCATCTGGAGATCAGCACACTGCATTCCTATGCAGTCCTATGCTAAAGGCTGATCTAAAGAACTCCACACAACAGTACAGTTATAACCTCTGGTCTCCTCCCCCCTACAGTAAACACCCCCACAATGGAAATACACTAGTACAGTGGCCAAGGGTGCTGACACCCTGACCCCCATCTCCTTTTAAGGTAGTGTCCGTTTGCCCTTTGTCTGCTCCTCACCCTCAGTAACTCTTGCTACTGTCCTGGGGGTGGGGGTTGATTGTCCTTCTGCACTGCACCTCAGTTCTTTGTTCCCATCCCAGGCCTTTTTTGCTATTTTGTATTCTTACACTCATTAACCGCAATATTATAATGTTGCAAGCAATCACAAACTATATTCTCTTTACCTTTGATGTACATTAAGAATCTATTCTCAACAGGAAGAAGGTGGAGAGAAAGGTTTAGGGAATTATTCACGTGCCTGTGAGCCGATTTAAGCCTAAACAATAACACATGATACACAGTCCTGTTCGTTTATTAATTACCAGAGATGTCGCATAAAAAGAGATCAAAAAGGCAAAACCGTGCACCATAGTCAGGGGTTAAAGTCGCTTTTTGTTTGTTTGTTTTCAGTATCATTGAAGTTATTTCTTCTCGGGACTTGCACAGCAATAAGCATTTCACTGCATGTCGGACTGTGTGTATTATTGTGAATGTCACAAATAAAATTTGAATTTGAGCTACAAAAGAGTAGCAAGCATAAAGGGACGTTAAAGTTAAAGGATGTTTAAGTTGCAGGTAATTTCAAATGCAACAAACATCCGAAAGCACACAAACTATGTGTGCGCTATGGTCCCTGGGTGGTTTACACAGTGTTTTTTGTTAATAGTTTTGAGTCTTTTTTATTCATTATTATGTTGTTTGTGTTATATTTCCTACTTCAGTTTGCTTGTGCTTTTAGTTCATCAGTATTTCTATTTTAGGTTGTTAATAGGTTTGTAGCTTGAATCTATCCGCTGGAACGTTGAAGACAATATAATTACACTGCAAAGCAAGACACAAGTAGGCAAGCTTCTTCATGTTTCTCGTGCACGGGAGAGAACCGGACAGGCACCGTTCCTTCGCTTTACCCCAGTTGCTCTCGTCCGTTCTCCCGTACCACTGTCCTTTTATTGAGGTTACATGAATATGCATAGGTTCATTAACATATGACGTCTACATTCACACAAAGAGTACCTTGCCTGTGTGTGTGTGTGTGTGGGGGGGGGGGGGGGGGGGGGGGTACTGCTGATCAAAGGGTCATAAAAGCACACAAGCAAACATCCTTGGTCAGGAAGAGGGTAGACCCCCCTCATCCTAGATAACACAGTAAGGAAGTCCAGCAGTTCATTTATCTAAACAAAAGGCTCTTATACTTAAACAGATATACGTGTGTTTACTATACCATAAATCAGCAAAGGAAGATACGATCTCTCCTCTGTAGGGGAGTGAACTCACCCCCTCTCCATGCCACACAGAGTTGTTACAGACCTCTTAGGATGAGACATTCTTTCAATCTACAAATGATTATATACTTCTAAGCATCTATGGTTAAATATTTCTAAGCATAAATGACAATCAACAATACAAACTCTAACATTCCCCCGTTTTTGACCTTTATGCTAGAAAAGTTCCCAGTTATGAATACCTCATGTCTGACAGTTTCAATTAGAGCTGGGCGA